CTGTTTGATGGTAATGGAACATCCTGACATTTGGGGAGGGGGCACTCTTTGGTTTTCTTATTATAGCAATTCATCTTTCTTTGGAGGGGGAAAGAGAGAGTTGACTATTGGATGGAGACGTTTCTGTGGAATCTTTCTCTGGTGACTCGTAATCTAAAGCTGCTGAATCCAGGGAAGGTGGTTTTAACCACAGTATTTAATCTTAGGGAGACATTTACTGCAGAGCCTCTTGTTTTGCCTTGTTTAATATAAACCACAGGGGAGGTGTTTCTTGGTTATGTCATTTCATAAAGCAGAGTGAGAGATGAAAATCTGCAGTCCTGTTTCAGAATCGCTGTATCCCCTGCAATGCTGGAGGAGATCAAAGCCTCAAAAGACCACCAGCAGGAATGCTAATGATTATGACGGCAACAGGAACACTAACACTCAGGATTGCAATGACAACTAGACTCCACAAAGGAGTTGTGGGAAAGGCTGACTATTCCTGGCATCAGGCACACCTGGACTTTCCTTACACTCCTGACTTCCCACCTACATTCCCTCAAGCAAGGTGTCTTTGCTAAGCTCAGCTTCTTCTCTAGAACAGGAGAATAAATAATCTTTGTAAAGTTGTTACGACTGTTACATGGAGTGTTGATGGTAAAACTCTTAACAGTTTCTGGCACATAATAAATATTCACTGTGTTATTTTCATTGTTACAAGGAAATGCATAGTCTATTGTCAGCCTATTACTTGTTTAAGGATGTTTCCAAGTGCCTAGGGTGCAGTCCTGAAACAGCCATTATTAGTTTTCTCCACTTTACAGACTAATTAAATGGCAGCTCATGCTCATGGGTTCAGAAATAGCAAAGGAGATGTTCCCTTGGGTTTGAAAAATAATATTGTATTTCATCTAAAAACAATCAAGTTAGTTACAGGGCTGAATAGATCCTGTCAAGGTTATTAGTTGAAGTTGGCCACTGTTAAACCTATAGTCAAGCAAAAGTCAAGAGGACAAAATTTACTGTTTCTTTAAGGTTCAGACGGAATTAGCAGAGTTTACATCCAGTGGATTAACTGTGCCCCACATGTACATTTTAAGAAGAATCTGAACATTCAGAAAAACCAATAGTATTTTAAGGATAAATATTAATGATGGTCCATCTTGAAATATTGTCAGCAAAAGGGAAATTGTTACACCTGTGTCTGAGATCACTAAATCCCATCAGGCATAGCTGGAACCAGGCTCTGTGCTGTCCTCTGCTTGCCACCTGCACATTTTCGGCTCTGCCTCTCTCTGTTAACCAGCTTTCCTGACAGAATCTGCCCATAAAAACATTCACTGGAAATCTCAACACCTACCTGTCCTCACTGGTAGCTCCACCAGTATGGGGCCTCCTTGCTTTCAAAAGTCTGTTGATCAATGGCCTGATCAGTCCTAGGAAGATGTAGTATTTGGAGGAACAATGTAAATTCCTCACAAAGATTACTTGGAATGGGAAAAAAGCATCCTAGCAAAAATGTGGAATGGAAAAGTTATCCTGCTGTCTGAGAAGTTATAGTGAGTGACTCTAACTCCAATGGGTACTCTCTTCACTAGAGGTTTGTGCAAACCAAAATTGCAGAGTCTGGAAAGAGATGTCTACCCTCAGCACAGAATCTGAAAACCATGGATCTCTGAAGCTGATGATGATCTCTGAGACATGAGTAGGTTGGGAGACATTTTTAGAGATGGGCCTTTCAAAGGCAATTTGTAAACACGGTTGCAGGTGGGAGAGGGAGTTTCCCTTCTATCTCTCACTCCCATGGCACTCTGTATCATGATGAGTGCCTGTGTCTCTTACCATCCAGAGAGTGAGGCTCTGAAGCAAGGCCATCTTTCTCTGCCTACAACTGGCAGCAGAGGCTGCAGCAAAACTGCAAGCACAGCAAAGCCAGGGGGTGAAGATGGGTCCTTGGATGTTGGAGCTGAAACAATGATATCATTTTGGAGTCAACTTAAAGTGCCACTACTCACATTTATGATCTTTAAACACAGTACAAAAAAACTAGAAATCTGGACTGGATGGAAAAGTTATCCAGGAAGATGGATATACTGAGATATACTGAGTAAATTAAACTCCCTTGGGTTCACTAGTCATTAGAGCAGTTGTTTTCAACTTATGGTTCTAGACCCTCTTGAGTTCAAATGACCTTTTCACAGGGATCACATATCATATGTCCTGCATATGCTACATTTACATTAGAATTCATAACAGTAGCAAAATTACAGTTATGAAATGTCAAAAGAATAATTCTATGGTTGGGGGTGGGAAGTCGCCACAACATGAGGGACTATATTAAAGCTTTGATCCATTAGGAAGGTTGAGAACCACTACCCTAGGAGTTTGTTCACAGGGAAATCACAGGGTTTCAACTGGAGCTGAGAGATCTGCATTGAGAATAAAATATGCAAACCATGGTCCTCTGGACCTGAAGAGATGCTTGAGACAAGAATAGAGGAGACTCCCTGAGCTAGCTGAGCTCCTCCACTTGCTTCTTAGGGTCGCTGTAACTTCTCAATATCCAAACGTTATTTTCTTTCCCTTTAAAATAAAAGTAAAACACTTAGCTGCTAGTTGACAATAATACAATTCTTCCCAAGTTCAAATAATGCATCTGGCATGTAGATGGCATAGAAGGTTATTATTAGAGTTATATTATTTTGTTTCTTTGTTTTTATTTATCTTGGAACAGAATCTCATGTAGCCCAGACTGACCTTGAATAAGTGGTCAAGAATGACCTTGCACTTCTGGTCTTGTTGTCTGAGTGCTTGGCCTATAGGAACTCACTATCACACCTGGTTCATGTGGAGTGGAGGATCGCATGCAGGTCTTCATACTCGGGACTGAATCCAGATCTTCATGCACGCTAGGCAAGCACTCTATCAACTTGAATTACAAAATCAACAAGTGGTCTATTCTTATTTAATGTCAACAAAATAATCTTTTTGTTTGTTCTCCTTCTCTGTCAATATACAGCAAGAAACATTCCTGGAGCAAAGAAGATGTTTACCTAAGACCATGCATCTACAAGCCTGGGTTAGTGTAAAGATTACAGCTCCTGGCAAGTTTTACAAAGTAGAAGGAGGTCTTAGTGGAAGAGCAGCCCAGTCTGCTGGTGAGCAAGGTGGGGCTTCTGGAAAGGCACAGGGATCCTTCAGCACAGAACTCAAAAGCACACAACTCCCTCCAGGCAGCAGCCACATCCTTGGAATACCTGGTCTCTCCCCTCACCCCTTAAGACCTTCTGCTGCCAGTGGTGAGGAGAAATCTAGTTTCCGCCCAGCAACAGCCTCTGCGTCCTTAGCGACAGGGTTGCAATGCCCCAACCGCGAACTGGCCCTGTGATTGGCTGGATTCCTGAGCTCCACACTCAACGTTCTGAGTTGTTTTTTAGACAGAAGCAGTCCTGCTTCTGAACTCCCTGGGTAGGACGCGCCACTTTGGCGGTAAGACTGCTTGTCCCTCTGATCTCTCCTGGGGATGGTCTCAAGGTTGATGCCCCACTGCTGGGCAAGTAGGACAAGATAGCCTCAAATCCGTGTTTGGCTTAAAAGAGCCTGCAGTGGGCAGGATGAGGTCTCTTCTGGGGTTTTAGTACTGTCCACACTAAGTGAATGGAAATCATGGGAAGGTTCCTGCTGTAGCTATTAGAACGGAACACTGGAAAGACCTCTGCCTTCTCCTTCCCTCTCCAATCTGGAATTCCTTGGTGAAGCAGCATACCCTCTCTGGACCTTAATTTCCCATCTGTAAAGTCAGTGTTTAAACAAGAGTTAGTTCTAGGGGCCTCTCGAACTCTCTGAAAAGAAGAGCTCAGTCAGGTTCACCTAGCATCACTCCAGCTTAAACACTCAGAGTTTATCTCAAGCTGGTTTTCATTTGCAGAGTCTAGTAGCTGTGGGTACAGACTAGAGAGAATGTATTTCTTTTTCGATATATAATGCTGCTTCAAGCACTTTGTCTTCTGAATTCACGGAGAGTCTCTGAGCATTACAAGAATTACTCTTGAATTCACAAATGGCTAAAGGGAGTATCAGAGCTGAGTGTCGATTCAAGTGGTCTACTAAAGCCTGGCTTTGTGCTTTGGCCTCAGGACAGTCTCATCCCAGCCCCTGCAGTCAGAAAGATGTAGTCTCCCAAGGACTCAGTACACTTGCTTTGCAGTCCTGAGATCGGGAGCTCAAGCTACACATACCACTTCCTTCACTGGTAAAGCAAGAATGGATATTAGGAGTATCTCCCAGCCTGGCTGAGGAGATGGCTTAGCCTTTCAACCTGAGCTCACTTCCTGGAACACACATTGGAGAAGCAGAAAACTGACTGCAGCAGATTCTTCTCTGAATTTTACACACCACCATCACCACCACCACCACCACCACCACCACCACTACCACCAGCAGGAATGTAATTTTAAAGATGTAATAGGTAATTTTATTGAAGTGTTAAAAGAATATAGGGGTGGCACTGTTTATACCCAATCTACCTATGTCCTGTGATTTAATAGTAGAGAAGCATATGCATTATGGAATACAAATTGTACATACCATAGAAGCTTTCACACCCTGAGCCCCTAGTAAGAGAGCAAGACCTCTCCAAAAAGCATTTAGAATAAATTGCTTCTGTCTGAATTGGATAAGAACTAGCAGTAATAAAGCAGCTCAATTTTTTGGGAAGGATTGCGGGGAGGTATTTTAACTAGGATTTTCAGACTTGTAGCCTTAAATTCTCAAAGGACAAGATTTCACATAGGAATTTCATCTTTTGCTTTTAGGAAAACCCATGGAATTTAATGATTGTACTGTTCTTGATTTTTTCAAGTATCTTTAATGTAGTCTCTATACTAAGGTAGTCTATGTAATCCCTTCACAAGAATAATGCCAGTGTGTCCTGGTCTTATTGGCTATGAGAGAACCATAACTACTTAGATATGTTTATTTACCTTCTCTAAGAATCTTACAAGATTTGGAGAGGGACCATGTCTTCACCTTGGAAGACCCCACGCAGTTCAGCGCCAATGCCGGAGATGATAGTGAAAATTATTGGAAGTAAACACTTTCGGTACTTCGTAGAAAAGCCAACGTAAGTTTCTTTTCTGAAAAATGACTGTGTTTCTTAGATAATAATGACTTTTTTTTAAATTAAGAACTTTTAAAAGTGCCATCTTTCCTAAATTAAGTCATTAAAATGTAAAAATAGAAGTAAAGCAGTGGTGATAACTCCGTTAACAATTTTTCTGATACTTTCATCTTTATAATTCCCCAATTCTCTTTAATTACTTGGGCTGATTTTCCAAATAGATGGGAAATATGAGCATCATGACACTTATAAATATTAATGGAGTATTGCTGCTTCTCCTAGTCAAGTTTGTAATCTACCACATGCAGTAATTTGGTGGTGGGAGGGGGATAGGGAGGCAGACTATTAGTCAATTTGTTGTGAATTACAAGGGTGGGATTAATAATAAATCACAGCTTGTAAGGTTTTCTCTTATTCTTTTTACATTTGCTCCTTCTCTAAGGAAACTTCTCAGAGCTCAGCCAACATGTTGTTCCTCTGTTCATTAATGACAGCATGTCTGAGGAGGATCATTCAGACATCTTTAAAGTTAACTAGGTACTTGGCACAGAAGAGTATGACAAACTCTTTCTTCTAGATTTTTAGCAGTTTTTCAAAGAAAAGAATGCAAATTAAACCTATTTTCTTCCAGAAACTCAGTAGCTAGTTGCCTTTCTCTCCAGTGATGATTTCTTTGTTTCTTTCTACTGTTGTGTCATTGAACATAGCTGTTGGAAGTAATGCTTATTAAAGTCAAGACAATCACCCAAAGCATACTTAAAAATAAACATCTGGAGCCCAACTTAAGAAAAACTGATGCAGTCTATGAATGAAGGTCCTATGACCATTGTTGTCCAAATGGATAAGCAACACCAATTGCTTTTGCTGCTCCACTATCAGAATTATCACCCAGAGTAATTCCAACACGAAGGCTGTCATCAATCATGTCTCCATAGGCTAGCAAGTGAACAAGGCAGGATGGCGTCCATTATTTTGAGACCTTTGCAGAGCAGAGTGATAAGAGTTTTAACCATAGACCTGTTTCTTCCTAGTCAGTTGACATTTGAGAAAAATGTAGTGATATGTCTGGTCTTCTCTTCTAATCTATAAAACAGGAATTTAATGACACCTGCATAGTAGGTTGGGGGATTAAAAGTATGTGGGCATTTTGCAGTGCCCAGGATGTCTCATGCACCTAACAAGTGATTCTGCTACTGTTGTTGAAGTATATCCTTCCAAAGATACAAAGTGTTTAATGAAAATCATATACCATCTTATGAAAAGGTTGCCATGTCATTTATATTCTATGCCTAAGAAGCAGGATATGTTCTATTTTATAAATGAGGAAACTGTGATGATGTAAATGACCATTTCAAGATCTTTACCAATCCTCTGTCACTATATGAAAAGAAAGCAAAGAGTTAGCAATGGAACATACTTCTACCAGGAGTACACCACCACCACTCCTCTTGTTTCTCTTCACAAAGCTGATTAGCTCCATGCCATTCAAAGCCTCTTGTTTTAAGAATGTCAAGTATAGTTTGTTTCGAAAAGAAAAGTGAGGAGGAAGCTTGCTTAATTTAAGTAGTAAGGGAGTAAATGGTGCATTAAGTAAATTGTGAAGTAAAAGCCACAGTTCTTGCTCATGAAACACTATAAAAGTGGTATTATTTTATAGTAAGACAGGCTTTCTGTGAACTCAATGCTGTTGTTGTTCGACTGCCATAGGCAATTGACATGCTTTGTTAGAATCATCTTCTGCAGCTCAAAAGTGAACAGTTGACAACCCACTACTTGTTGCTGAGGTAAAGGAGATGAACAACCATCATGCCCCCTAAGTCCCCAAATACCTCAACCCAGGGCTACTGAATGTCGAAAGGTTGCATCTCTGAGTTGAACCAGTTAGTAAAAATCTGCATAAGAATTATAACAAAGAGGATGTCATCAAAAGGAAAGTCTGAATTAAAGACTTTTTAATGTATAATGAAAAGAAGTGGAAACACATTTAGCTGAGGTTTCCTGTAGGACATTGTTGAAGAGGAAATATTATGTCAAACTTGAAGATCTAGAACTGTGTATGAGCTTGTTACTCTGTCAATGTGCCAGACACCACAGAATTAATTTTTTCACAGTTGTGGCTGCTAGAGATTTAACACTCAGGTAAGCATCCAGCTGAATTCCCTCCAGAGGTACCAGAAAAGTATTTCCATGTGTCCTATACACGCTTATCATTAGAGTTTTGGTGCTATGTGACCTTTTCAGGTTTGCACCTGTATTCAAATCCCCCTTTTATAAAGATGCTAGTCAACTGGCTTATAGGCCCACTATATTATTATATTATATTAATGTGTGAGTGCACGTGCATGTGCGTGTGTGTGTGTATGTGTGTGTGTGTGTGTGTAAGGTGTAAGATTTGTGACTTAAACATAGTAATCTCGACGACGGTGACAGAATTTACCCCATAACAATCACCCATCTGTGCCACAAATGAGGTAATTGAGGGAAGCTGTTCTCCTTAAGATTGGGACAGATGTCACCACTCCTCTTTTCTACATTCATTATTAGATGAAAAATATACTCAAGACCTCTTTAATATGATTACTTTTCACAAAGAAACTTAATCTATGAGCTTTGAAGAATAAAGCAAATTTCCTGTGGTTTGTACTGTCATTTAAGATTACATCCAAGCTTTCGAAGTCAAGTCTTTGCTTCTACCTTTCTTGTCCCCTAGTGGACTTTATGAAGCCTTCCTTTTAGAGTGTCATGCATGAACAACTGGCATTCATCCCACTTGAGTAGATCCCAAGCTCCCTCTGCATATGGACTAAGCCAAAATTGCTTTTTAAATGGATTCCCTATTGACTCCTATATGTTCTAGTCTGAAAATCCTCATTCTTCCCCATGTCCAGAGGATCCTTCTAAAATACAAATCTACTGTGCCTGATAGCTCCCATAACACCCCTGAGTAATGTATTGTGTTGAGACTTCCTATGTCTCTGTTTCTTCCCTATACCTGTGAAGGCCTGTGCACAAAGCTGTATCCTCCACACAATTTACAAAGTACTCTACATTTTGAAAGCTGAGTAAGTGAATTAGAGTAACACAGTTGCCAAGAAAAGTAAAGATCTAACAATGTTTCCTTGCTTTAAAGGATTTCAGGCCTGAGATACCAAGCTTTCAAGTAGCTTGCAGATGTTACTCAGAATTCCTGAATAATCTTTGATAGCTCCTTGAAAGCAAAATATATCTTTATCTCATCTCCAAACAAAAAGGTAAAAATGGAGGATGAAATCCAGAGGCTGGTGAACAACCCCTGGACAAATTGTAGCCAGTTTTAAGCACATGAAAGTGGTGATTTCCAAGGGTCAGAGCATTTTGACAAAAAGCTGATAAAAGCAGATTCAATTATACATTCCTTCCCTTACTGCTGGGACTATGAGACCCAAATGAAAGGAATGAAAAGATGTGCTACCATCAATTCTGATGAATCATCTCTCTCAAAATGGCTTGATATAAGGCAGACTATTGAGATAGGTGATATACTGCTGTTTATTTTGCTGTTGCTAACAGCACAGTCTCACAGACCAGATATATCTGACCATAACAGGTTTATTTTTCCCCCATGGTTCTGGAGGTCCAGGTTGAGGAGGGTTGCATGACCTTCCTCTTGGCAGTCTTAAAGTGATAAAGACATGGATGGCAGTTGAAAAAAATGTATAAGCATGTTTATTTTATCTGTTCTTTCCATTCTTCTTTTCAAATCCCACGAGTCTATCATGTGTTTGATTCTACTTTAGAATTTTATTTAGTCCAAAACTCTTCATAAAGTTCCTACTCTAAAAAGAATAGCTTGCTTAAATGGTCACCTTCAGTATCTCACAATGGAGAATAAGTTCCAACATGAGTTGTGGAGAGCACAGACCATATTAAAACTAAAATGCACATCAAAATAATTGTTGTTAGGTGTTCTCCCTTCTGGAAGTGGGGAGGATTTATGTGTGACATTTCTAAAATCAAGGGAAAATAGGTACTCCTTTTAGTAAAGATACAGATAGCAGAATGCTGAGGGACCTTGGCAAGAAAATATGCTAACAATCAAATCAACATTGTCCATACCAGGTTTCTCCTAGGGTAAGTGTGTATGGTCATGGTTTCATGAGTTAAATGCTTAGGTTTCTGTCTGTGCTTATGCTGTGAATGCACTAAGACACTCAGAGAGATGTATTTTCCCTCTGTAGTCAGTACTCAAGGGAGGACTGTGCTTGATTCTAGATACAGTGTACAAGGAACCCTATCACACTAAAGATGAAGGCAGCAGGGAGTATTAGAGAAGATTCTTAGGACAGAGCTATAATAAGTGTTGTTAAGTTGATAATATATTGATACGTTAAATTCATGAACAGAACTGAAATGTTTATATTCTAAGAAATGCCTTCCATTAAATAAAGTTGACATCCATAATTGCTTCCAATGTCAAAGGTCAGTAACAAATACCTTTGTTCTTTAGATATTGTATTATCAGTAGAGCAGTATTAGACACTAGGTAGGCTATATACAAAGTTTTAAGGGGAAAAATTGTACACACTTAATAACAGTTTACTTTGCTATTATAAGTCCATGGTTTGTTTTTTTTTTTTGGTGTTTTCTCACAGAACTCTCTTAGAGAACAAAATTTTCTCACTTTTAGTTCTCTAAAGTCATTCATAATAATAAATTTTATATGATTTTATTCAAACTGTTTAAAGTTTCAGTAGATTTAGAAATTAATGTATTATCTGTGATACTGAGCCTTGGGAATTCAGGAGGCCACGTAAAGTATTAGTGGCAGGAGACACAGCAAGCAGTGTCCACTCAGATGGGGACAGTATAATCATAAAAGTGGAAAGAATTACAGTGATACAAAAAGAATTCTCAAAAGACCCCTCTGAACATGCATCAATTGCCTGCATCTCTGTGGAAGCAGAGCAGGGTCATGGATAAGAATGACCACAGCACAGCAGACAATAAGACACTACCAGTGTTCCAGCAGTCATGACCTCACTAGACTCCCCTTTACTGTAAAGATGTATACATCCTCTTTATGTTTTGAGGAAGAGGTTGAAACTATCCACAGGTCAAAGTTCAGATATCAGACAATTGGCCTTCCTAACAACTGCAACAAACAAGAAGTCCGTTAAGTTGAATGCACAGAGCAAAACAACAGCAACAACAAAACACAACAAATGTGTGAGATGAGAGAGGCCAGCAGGCTGAGACCAGTCACTGTGTGAGCCATGGTTTGAACTCTGCTTTCAGAAGGATGAGAATCTATCGGAAAACTGAGAGCAATGGAGAATATATCATGTTTACACTTTCCAAAACACAGTTCTGGCAGCTGAGTGATAGATAAACTGGGAATGAAGGAGGAAAGAGAGAGACCATCTTAGGGCACTGTAAGGGTAATCTAGAAAAGAGAAATTGTAGCTTCTGGATAAACCCTGAATAAATTTCACCATGTAAAAATTTTGACATCAGTGCATTATATATGGATGAGTTGGAATATTACATGACTGAGAATAAAACCTGATAGTAGAAAAATTATCTAGAATGTGCCAGACTCAATCTTGATCAGATTCAATCTTGAATACTAGGGAAGAAGCAGATATCAAGGGATAAAGGAAATATAGGGAGAATAAATATCACCTATAATATATACAGTATCATCTAAAATACACAATTGAGGGCTGATTTAGAACATTTGCTGCTTCTGCAGAGGACTCAGGTTACCATATGGTAGTTTGCAATCATACCTCCATGATATCTGTCACCCTCTCCTGGCCTTCAAGGGCTCCAGGCACACAGGTGGTATACATATATACATGCATATCAAACACTCATTCACACAAATTAAAACTAAATAAACCTTTAAAAGAAAACCCAACTGAACACCAGAGCAAATGTTGTTGTGTCCATCGACACAGTTTA